CCATCATCTATCATCTACCTACCTATCTATCCATCCATCCATCTATATCTTTTGTATCCATCATCTCTCCCTATCTAATCTATCTCTATCATCTTTCTACCTTTTTCTATCTATCTATCTATCTATCTATCTATCTATCTATCTATCTATCTATCTATTTTTATTTGTATCCATCATCTCTCTCCCTATCTAACCTATCTCTATCATCTTTCTATCTTTCTCTTTCTTTCTTTATCTCTTTTATTTGTATCAATCATCTCTCTCTCCCTATCTAATCCATCTCTATCATCTTTCTTTCTTTCTCTATCTCTTTTATTTGTATCCATCTCTCTCTCCCTAATCTATCTGTATCATCTTACTATCTCTTTCTCTATCTATATCTATCTATCTATCATCTATCTATCTATTTTTATTTGTATCCATCATCTCTCTCCCTAATCTATCTGTATCATCTTACTATCTCTTTCTCTATCTATATCTATCTATCTATCATCTATCTATTTTTATTTGTATCCATCATCTCTCTCCCTATCTAACCTATCTCTATCATCTTTCTCTTTCTCTTTCTCTCTTTATCTCTTTTATTTGTATCCATCATCTCTCTCTCCCTATCTAATCTATCTCTATCATCTTTCTTTCTTTCTTTCTTTCTCTATCTATCTATCTCTTTTATTTGTATCCATCATCTCTCTCTCCCTAATCTATCTGTATCATCTTACTATCTATCTATCTATCTATCTATCTATCTATCTATCTATCTATCTATGTGTCTATCTCTGTCTGTCAGTCTATCTATCTATCTATCTATCTATCTATCTATCTATCTATCTATCTATCTGTATCCATCATCTCTCTCTCTAATCTATCTCTATCATCTTTCTAATATTTCTGTATTTCTGCCTTTAACATCTCTATCTATCATCTATTGATCTATCTTTTCTATATATATCTATCAGCTCTTTTTCTATCCCTATCATGTGTGTCTATCTCTAATCTTTCTAACTCTAATCTTTCTATCGCTATATATCATCTAATCTTTCTCTATATCTATCTGTCCCTAATCTATCATTTATGTCTATCTAACCTTTCTAGCTCTCTCTCCTAATTTTCTATCTATATCTATCTTTCTAACATCTATGTCTATCATCTATTGATTTATATTTCTATCATCTATCTTTCCATCTGTCTCTCTAATCTTTCTATATCTATGTCTATACCATGTGTCTCTCTAATCTTTCTATCTCTATATATCATCTATCTAATCTTTCTCTGACATCTATATCTGTCTCTAATCTATCATTTGTCTATCTCTAACCTTTCTAGCTCTCTCCTAATTTTCTATCTACATCTCTATTTTTCTAACATGTCTATCATCTATTGATCTATATTTCTATCTATGTCTTTCCATCTGTCTCTCTCTAATCCTTCTCTATATGTTTATCTATCTCTATTATCTCTATCTTTCTATCTCTTTCTCAATCTGTATCTCTCTAATCTATCATCTATGTCTATATCTAACCTTTCTAGCTTTCTTATTATCTATCATTTCTCTACATAAATCTTTATCTATATCGGCGTTTCTCAACCTTGACCATTTTAAGGCGTGTGGACGTCAACTCCCAGAATTCCACAGCCAGCATTGCTGGCTGTGGAATTCTGGGAGTTGAAGTCCACACGCCTTAAAATGGTCAAGGTTGAGAAACACTGGAATAGATCATCTATCTATTCTAACTAATCTATCTTTGATTTGTCTCCATCTCCTCTCCCTATAATCTATATTATCTATATCTAATCTTTCTATATCTCTTAACATCTACGTCTATCTAGCTATCATCTATTGCTCCATCTTTTCTATATATATCTCTAAGCTATGTCTATCTATTTCTAATCTTTCTAACTTGTGTCATTTATGTCTATATCGCTCTAATCTACCTCTAACATCTTTCTATTTGGCTCTAATTTATCATTTATCTCTACTTGTCTATCTGTATCATTGATTTCTTATCTATCTATCTATCTATCTATCTCTATCCATACATACATACATACATCTACATCAATATCTATCCATCCATCCATCCATCTATGTCTATCCATCCATCCATCTACATCTATCTTTATCCACTCAAGCTATCTATCTATCCATACATCCATCCATCTACATCTATCAATATCTATTCATCCATCTACATCTATCAATATTTATCCATCCATCTACATCTCTATCCACTCAAGCTATCTATCTATCTATCTATCTATCTATCTATCTATCTATCTATCTATCTATCTATCTATCTAATCTATTCATCCATCCAAATCTATCAATATCCATCCATCCATCTACATCTATCAATATCTATCCATCTACATCTATCTCTATCCACTCAAGCTATCTATCTATCATCTATCTATCTCTATCCATACATACATAGATACATCTACATCTATCAATATCTATCCATCCATCCATCCATCTATATCTATCTGTCTATCCATCCATCCATCTACATCTATCTTTATCCACTCAAGCTATCTATCTATCTATCCATACATCCATCCATCTACATCTATCAATATCTATTCATCCATCTACATCTATCAATATTTATCCATCCATCTACATCTCTATCCACTCAAGCTATCTATCTATCTATCTAATCTATTCATCCATCCAAATCTATCAATATCCATCCATCCATCTACATCTATCAATATCTATCCATCTACATCTATCTCTATCCACTCAAGCTATCTATCTATCATCTATCTATCTCTATCCATACATACATAGATACATCTACATCTATCAATATCTATCCATCCATCCATCCATCTATATCTATCTGTCTATCCATCCATCCATCTACATCTATTTTTATCCACTCAAGCTATCTATCTAGCCATACATCCATCCATCTACATCTATCAATATCTATTCATCCATCTACATCAGTGGTTCTCAACCTGTGGGTCGGGACCCCATTTGGGGTCGAACGACCATTTCACCGGGGTCACCAAACAAGGCTGTCCGCCATTTTTTCCCCCCTTTTCTTTGACCATGCCCCTGGCACCCGGTGATGTATAAGTGGTTGGGGGTCACCACAACATGAGGAACTGTATTATGGGGTCGCGGCATTAGAAAGGTTGAGAACCACTGATCTACATCTATCAATATTTATCTATCCATCCATCTACATCTCTATCCACTCAAGCTATCTATCTATCCATCTATCTATCTAATCTATTCATCCATCCAAATCTATCAATATCCATCCATCCATCTACATCTATCAATATCTATCCATCTACATCTATCTCTATTCACTCAAGCTATCTATCTATCTATCTATCTATCTATCTATCTATCTAATCTATTCATCCATCCAAATCTATCAATATCCATCCATCTACATCTATCAATATCTATCCATCTACATCTATCTCTATCCACTCAAGCTATCTATCTATCATCTATCTCTATCCATACATACATACATACATCTACATCTATCAATATCTATCCATCCATCCATCCATCCATCTATATGTCTATCCATCCATCCATCTACATCTATCAATATCTATTCATCCATCTACATCAATATTTATCCATCCATCCATCTACATCTCTATCCACTCAAGCTATCTATCTATCCATCTATCTAATCTATTCATCCATCCAAATCTATCAATATCCATCCATCCATCTACATCTATCAATATCTATCCATCTACATCTATCTCTATCCACTCAAGCTATCTATCTATCTATCTATCTATCTATCTATCTATCTATCTATCTATCTATCTATCCATCCAAATCTATCAATATCCATCCATCCATCTACATCAATATCTATCCATCTACATCTATCTCTATCCACTCTATCTATCTATCTATCTATCCATCCATCCATCCATCCATTCATCCATCTTCATCTCTATCTATCCTCTCTGTATCATGTCTGTCTATAACTAAGTAATCTATATTTTCTATCATCTATGTCTATGTAATCTTTCTCTCTCTCATCTCTCATTTTTCTCTTTCTCTCCTATCCATCCATCCGTCTGTCTCCTGAAAGTTTTATAAATAAAAAATCATCATCATAACACAGTTGAAAGGGACCTTGGAGGTCATCCAGCCCAACCCCTTGCTCAGGCAGGAAACCCTACCCCATTCCCAATCACAATAACTTAACCCTTCCGAGTTCCTGAAAACGTCAATCTTAATTCATCCCTCTTTTGACTTCGGGCTTCAGCTGTCGGCACCTCCCCCCATGGTGGCTTAATGCCGGCTTCCGGTCCTTCCAGGAAGGCGGTCAAAGAGTGCCTGGCCAAAAACGACTCCTCTCTGCACACACTTGTGCGCTTGTGACGTGGGAAGGGCGCGTCGGGAAATGGGGAGGAAACCTCCCATTGGCTTCTGCCGGATGGGGTTGCCGTGGAAACTGCCTCCTCTGGCTGCCTTTATCTCCATGGCGACCGAAGGATGGGTACCGAAGAGGGAAGAGGATAACAAGGGTGGTTGTGTGGATTGTTGTGTTTGTGCATCTTTTTTTTTTTTGCGGGAATCGGGGAGGGGGGGATGTTTTGGGGCCTCGTGTGCTGAAGGAAAGGGGGACACAAGGTGTTTCTTTGGGGGGGAGAGAGACACACATTAAATAAAGGGGGACAAAATCCCCTTCATTTTAGGGATGACGGATGTACGTCGTGAAGTGAGACGGCGTAAATCCGGGTTCCGCCGTGCGGTCGTTAAGCCGAGGACCGCCTTGACCAATCGGGGGTGTGGGGGTGTGGAGGAGGCTGGAAAAGGCCGCTACTTCGCCTTTACTCGTTCCCTACTCCTCCTTTGCCCCCCCCCCGGGGGGAAAAAAAATAAACAACCCCTAAAATCGGGCCAGGAAAAAAAGAAGCCAGCCCAGTCTGCAAAAAAAATAAAATAAACCATTTTATATTCCGCCAGAGTTTCACGTTCGGTTACTCGCTCTCTACACCCGGTAGGAAAGTTCCCCCCCCCCCGCCCCTCCCGGCATCCCAATCCATCGGGTCCCTTTCGAAGAAAAACGTCCCGGCGAGCCGAGTTCCTATTCCGCCAAATCTCTGGCTACGGATTTCTGGATCTTGTCTTTGAGGTATTGGGTTTTCTTCCAGTCCGTGTTCAGGTTGAACCACTCGTGGTAAGGGACCTGTTTGGGGGGGGGGGAGAGAGAGAGATGACGGAGCGGGAAGGGACCCTCGGAGGTCATCTAGTCCAGCCCCCCTGCTCCAACAGACCCGTATAGAATCACGGAATGAGAGAGCTGGAAGGGACCCTGGAGGTCATCTAGTCCAGCCCCCCTGCTCGAGCAGGAGAGCCTTATAGAACTCGTATGGGAAGGGACCCTGGAGGTCATCTAGTCCAGCCCCCTGCTCGAGCAGGAGAGCCTTACAGAATAATATGGGAAGGGACCCCTGGAGGTCATCTAGTCCAGCCCCCTGCTCGAGCAGGAGAGCCTTACAGAATCATATTAGAAGGGAACCTGGAGGTCATCTAGTCCAACCCCCTGCTCCACCTGGAGAGCCTTACAGAATCATATTGGAAGGGACCCTGGAGGTCATCTAGTCCAGCCCCCTGCTCGAGCAGGAGAGCCTTACAGAATCATATTGGAAGGGACCCCTGGAGGTCATCTAGTCCAGCCCCCTGCTCCAGCAGGAGAGCCTTACAGAATCATATTGGAAGGGAACCCTGGAGGTCATTTAGACCAGCCCCCTGATCCAGCAGGAGATCCGTATAGAATCATGGAATGAGAGCACTGGAAGGGACCCTGGAGGTCATCTAGTCCAGCCCCCTGCTCGAGCAGGAGAGCCTTACAGAATCATATTGGAAGGGACCCTGGAGGTCATCTAGTCCAGCCCCCTGCTCAAGCAGGAGAGCCTTACAGAATCATATGGGAAGGGACCCTGGAGGTCATCTAGTCCAACCCCCTGCTCAAGCAGGAGATCCTTACAGAATCATCTTGGAAGGGACCCTGGAGGCCATCTAGTCCAACCCCCTGCTCCACCTGGAGAGCCTTACAGAATCATATTGGAAGGGACCCTGGAGGTTATCTAGTCCAGCCCCCTGCTCCAGCTGGAGAACCTTACAGAATCACAGAGTTGGAAGGGACCCTGGAGGTCATCTATCCTGGACTCACCTCGACCACCACATAGCCAGCGGTTTGGATGTGCCGTCGGGCCATCACGAAGCGGCCCAGGAGATCTTTACTCCGGCTGCTGAAATTGGGGAACTCCCAGAGGAGAAAAGCAAGCCTGTGTCAGCGAAGGAAGGAAGGAAGGAAGGAAGGAAGGAAGGAAGGAAGGAAGGAAGGAAGGAAGGAAGGAAGGAGAGACAAAAAGGGATGACGGAAGGAAGGAAGGAAAAAGGGATAAAGGAGAAAAAGAAAGGAAGAACAAAGGAAGAAAGGGAGGGAGAGGAGAGAAGGGAAGGAGGAAGGACAAGGAAGGAAGGAAGGAATGGAAAATACATAGAAGGAGAAAGGAAAGGAAAGAAGGAAGGACAGAAGGGAGGATGAAGGACAGAAGGAAGGAAGGAGGAAGGAGAAAAAGAAAGGAAGAGCAAAGGAAGAAAGGGAGGGAGGAGAAAGGAGGGAGGGAGGGAAGGAGGAAGGACAAGGAAGGAAGGAAGGAAAGTAAAAAAGAAAGGAAGGAAAAAGGGAAGGAAGGAAGGAGAGACAGAAGGGAGGGATGAAGGACAGAAGGAAGGAGGGAAAAAAGGAAGGATGGAAGAACAAAGGGGAGAGAGAGAGGGAGGACAAGGAAGGGAGGGAAGGAGGAGAAAGAAGGAAGGAGAAAGGGAAGGAGGGAGGAAGAAAGGTAGGAAAGAAGGAAAGGAAAGAAGGACAAAGGATGGAGAAAGAAGGCAGGATGGAAGCATGAAGAAGGAATGAAAGAGAAAGGAGGGAGGGATGAGAAAAAGAAAGGAAGAAAGGAAGGAAGGAAGGAAGGAAGGAAGGAAGGAAGGAAGGAAGGAAGGAAGGAAAAATAAGAACAATCAACCAGAGCTAACCATGTCTGGAACTCATTCGGAGAGAAAGGATCGTTTTTGGGCTGGGGGGGGGGGGGACAGACTGTGCTTCTGAGGACCCGCCCCCAGTCCTCCTCCTCCTCCTCCTCCTCCCTCTCAGCACTGATGACATTCCCTAGTTGGGTCACGAGACGTCCACAACACGGTTTGTGGAATCTAGGATGCTCCCTAAACATTCTACTTATTTTATATTTTTTCCTACCTGGCTACTCCTGGGAGGGGTGGGGGGTGTGTGTCCCCAGGAGGAATCACCTCCTTTCCCCCCCCCGACCTTTACTACCTCTAGGAAGTCTCTCACCTTCTCCCCCCCGCCTCCACGGACGGCTGGCCCACCGAGGAAGCCTCAAGCTCGGCCACCGGGAGCGGATTGTTTTCGGAGTCCAGCACCATCTCGGCGTCTGCAAAGAGAGAACAAACTGCCGGGGATTCCTCATTTTGCGACCACAACAGCACCCCGCAATTTCCCCGGTAAGCGAGACTCTTCCTTTCGAGGACGTTTTCGCCCCGTTTGGATGATCTTCCTGGCACCCACCCCCACCCACCCCGGTCGTTTAAGCGAATCCCTGCAGGCGTGAAAGTTCGGAAGCGAATCGGGCTTCCCACCCCCCCCACCCGACGGTCGCAAAAGGGGAAGACGCGACGCCGGGGACGCTGCGACCGTCGTAAAGACGAGTCGTTTGGCCAAGCGTCTGAATTTCGAGACGAGGGAAAACGGTCATTAAATGGGGAAAAAAACGGCTTTTTTCGCCCGGACTGGTCACTAAATCGAACGGCGGTAAGCCGAGGACTGACTCCCTATGCCTCTCGTGGACTCTCAAACCCATCTTCCACTCTGCCCCTCGGAGAAGATATGGCCCGTCTTTGAGAAGGTGGACAAATTCGGCCAGCTCGGTTTCGTTTAGCGACCGTTTGTCGTTATGACGGCCCGGGAAAAATAATAAAGGGATTTACGGACTTATGACCGTTGTCATGGTCACTTGCTCAAAATTCAGTTAAGGGCCATGTACAGGGAGTCCTCGACTTATGACGGTTTGTTCAGTGACCGTTTGTAGTTACGACGGCCCAGCAAAAAGAGAGATTTACGGAAAGTCCTCGCACTTAACGACCATCATCAGAGTCACGTGCTCAAAATTCGGGCGAGGGCCAGCTATAGGGAGTTTTTGATTCATGGTAGTTTGTTTAGTGTCCATTCATAGTTATGACGGCCCTAACCCTAAGCCTAACTAAAACTTAACCTCAACTTAAAATTTAAAATTTAACCTCAACTTAACCTTAACTTAAAACTTAACCTCAACTTATAATTTATTGTATACTTAACTTAAAATGTAATTTAAATTTAACTTAACTTCAACTTACAACTTATTGTACACTTAACTTAAAACTTAACCTCAACTTAAAACTAAACTTGACCTCAACTTAAAACTTACCTTGACCTCAACTTAAAACTTACCTTAACTTCAACTTAAAACTAAACTTGACCTCAACTTAAAACTAAACTTGACCTCAACTTAAAACTAAACTTGACCTCAACTTAAAACTAAACTTAACTTCAACTTAAAACTAAACTTAACCTCAACTTAAAACTAAACTTAACCTCAACTTAAAACTGACCTTAACCTCAACTTAAAACTGACCTTAACCTCAACTTAAAACTGACCTTAACCTCAACTTAAAACTGACCTTAACCTCAACTTAAAACTTACCTTAAGCTTAACTTAATTTAACCTTCTTAAAACATTGTATACTTAACTTAAAACGTAACCTCAACTTAAAACTGACTTTAACTTCAACTTAAAACTGACCTTAACCTAAAACTTACCTTAAGCTTAACTTAAAACTGACCTTAACCTCAACTTAAAACTGACCTTAACCTCAATTTAAAACTAAACTTAACCTCAATTTAAAACTTACCTTAACCTTAACTTAACTTAACCTTCTTAAAACATTGTATACTTAACTTAAAACTTAACCTCAACTTAAAACTGACCTTAACCTTAACTTAAAACTTACCTTAAGCTTAACTTAAAACTGACCTTAACTTTAACTTAAAACTTAACCTTAACTTAAAACTCATCGTATACTTAACCTAAAACTTAGCTTAAATTTAACTTCACCTCAACTCAAATCTTCCCCTCCGGGGCAAGGATAGTCGTAAAACGGGTCCAAAACTCACCGAACCGACGTCTCGCTTAATGACAGTTGGGGTCGTAAGTTCGAAGCATCCGGGGAGCTCCACCTCTTCTACTTGGTCGGGCGCTAAGGGACACCCCACTCCCAACTCTGTGTGTGTGGGGGGGGTCCTCCCCTCTGCCCCCACCCCCAAACCCTGTGTGTATGTGTGTCTCACCGAGCTTCCAGCCGTAGGGCGTGTCCACGTTGAAGCGGAGCTTCGCCTCCTCGCCGGCCAGCTTGGTGAGGACGGCGTTGACGTCGGTCTGGAGGGAAGTGGGGGTCCGGGTGACCCCCAAGTCCTGGAGGCTCAGCTTGTCCGACGGGAGGAAGGGGCCGGCGTAACCCGGAGACTCCAGCTGGGCCGTGGTGTTGATGTGCATCAGTTTCAGCCAGGCGTTCTGCCGTGCTGGCGTCCAGTTTCCTGCGGGGGGTGTGTGTGATTGGGACAGAATGGATAGGGTCCCGGGAGGGAGCACGGGAGGTCATCGAGTCTGACCCCGCGGCCCCTTGCTCAGAGGAGAAGCACGCCGGGGGCCCCAGCGGCCTCTTGATGTGGGTATTTTTGTTGTGCCTATCGTCTTTCTCCTGCCTTCCTTCTCTAGCTTGATTTCCCTCTCGTTTTGTTTCTTTCCTTCCGTCCTTTTAGACAAATGGAGATGGACGGGACCTCGGAGGTCATCCAGTCCAACCCCCTGCTCGAGCGGGCGACCCCTACAGAATCATAGATGAATGGAGATGGACGGCACCTCTGAGGTCATCTAGTCCAACCCCATGCCCAAAAGGATGACCTTTACAGAATCATAGATGAATTGAGATGGAAGGGACCTCAGAGGTCATCTAGTCCAACCCCATGCTCAAGCAGGCGACCCTTACAGAATCATAAACTCATGGAGGTGGACGGGACCTCCGAGGTCATCTACTCCAACCCCATGCCCAAACGGATGACCTTTACAGAATCATAGATGAATGGAGATGGAAGGGACCTCCGAGGTCATCTAGTCCAACCCCATGGTCAAGCGGGCGACCCTTACAGAATCATAGACTCATGGAGGTGGACGGGAACTCAGAGGTCATCTAGTCCAACCCCCTGCTGAAGCGGGCGACCCTTACAGAATCATAGAATGACAGAACTGGAAGGGACCTCGGCGGTCATCTAGTCCAACCCCCTGCTCAAGCGGGCGACCCTTACAGAATCATAGACTCACGGAGGTGGACTGGAACTCAGAGGTCATCTAGTCCAACCCCCTGCTGAAGCGGGCGACCCTTACAGAATCATAGAATGACAGAACTGGAAGGGACCTCGGCGGTCATCTAGTCCAACCCCCTGCTCAAGCGGGCGACCCTTACAGAATCGTAGACTCATGGAGGTGGACGGGACCTCGGAGGTCATCTAGGCCAACCCCCTGCTCAAGTCAGTTTGTGTACTACGCTGAGGCCGCGTGTGGGTGGAGAGTAACCCTCCTGGTAAGTTTACTCCAACCTAGCCAACTCCCCTCTTCCCCCCCCCCCGCAGACCCGACCTTGGACTTCCACACTTCCTACCGAAGAACCCGGAATAAAACCTGGGCACCAAAACGCTCTGGAAGTGGACGGCTTCCGCTTGCTGCAAGACGCACAACGACCAGACCAGGTCGACCAGCAAGGACGGATTGAGGCTGCTTAGTTGACCGTCCAGGATGTGGTGGCTCTGGAAGAGAGGATGGAGAAAGGCAGGAGGAGGAGAATGAATCGAGGGGGGGGGAGTTTTTAATCCCGGCCCGGCTTGTGCGTCTCTCTCTTCCGATTTCCCGTGAATTCGCACCCGAGATCTCGCCGGTCGGACGTCTTTTCCGGAACTCCCCTTGCAAATTGCCTTTCGGGGGCTATCCCTCTTCCTTCCTTCTTTCCCTCCGTTCTCTCCCTCACTCCCCCCGTGCTACCTTCCTTCCTCCCCTGCTTTCCATCCTATCTCCTTCTTTTCCTTCCTTCCTTCCTCTCCCTTTTCTTCCTTCCTCTTTCCTTTCCTTTTTCTTCCTTCCTCCCCATCTCCTTCCTTTCTTTTCCTCTTCTTTCCTTTCTTCCTTTTCCTTCTTCCCCATCTCCTTCCTTCCTTCTTTCCTTCCTTCTTTCCTTCCTTCCTCCTTTCCTTTCCTTTCTTCATTTTCCTTCCTTCTTTTCTTCCTCCCTCTCTATCTCCTTCCTATTCTATTCTATTCTATTCTATTCTATTCTATTCTATTCTATTCTATTCTATTCTATTCTATTCTGTTCTATTCTATTCTTTCTATTCTATTCTAATTCTATTCCATTCCATGTTTTCTATTCTATTCTATTCCTTTCTTATTCTATTCTATATTATTCTATTTCTATTCTATTCTATTCCATTCCATATTTTCTATTCTATTCTATTCCTATTCTATTCCATATTTTCTATTCTATTCTATTCTATATTCTATTCTATTCCTTTCTTATTCTATTCTGTTCTATTCTATTCTATTCCATTCCATATTTTCTATTCTATTCTATTCTATTCTATTCTATTCTATTCTATTCTATTCTATTCTATTCTATTCTATTCTATTCTATTCTATTGTTCTATTCTATTCTATTCTTTCTGTTTTCTATTCTATTCT